ACTGTATTGGCTTCCGCCAGGCCCCTGTACTCTGTTTTACTGTATTACTGTTAAGCAGGCCTTTGGAAATCTCGAATTACTGGCCGGTTACGGTGCTAAACCCATAGGGGCGGGTTTGGGTCATGACAGTCCTGCAGCCTGGATCCTTATCCTGGGCTTAGGAAGGGTGTTGGTTTTTCCTGCCAACCTCTAGATTGGTTTTTTCCAGCCAACCCAGAGTAAAGTGTTTGGTTATTCCGACCAAACGTCCTGTAGCCTGGATCCTTATCCTAGGCTTAAGAAGGGTGTTGGTTTTTCCTGCCAACCTCTAGATTGGTTTTTTCCAGCTAACCCAGAGTAAAGTGTTTGGTTATTCCGACCAAACGTCCTGCAGCCTGGATCCTTATCCTGGGCTTAGGAGGGGTGTTGATTTTTCCAGCCAACCATTCTTTGAATGCCTCTAGCCTACGAAAACAATTTTTACAGAATAAAAACACTGATGCTCAAAAGAAAACTATTTGCTTTATTAGGAAAAAGAAAAATTACAAGTATTTTAAAGTAAAGCTAAAAATAAAATAGTTTGAGATTGGCAGTGTTCCATGGTCTGGGAATTGCTTTGCTATTTTCGTCTTCCAAGTGGTAAGCACCTTTTCCTGCTAATCCGACCACTTTGTAAGGTCCTTCCCAATTAGGCCCTAATTTGCCGCCTCCTGAGACCAAGGTATTTCCCATTACTTTGCGCAGTACCCAATCTCCGATTTTGAATTGTCTTGGATGTACTGTCTTATTGTATTTCCTAGATAACTCTTGTTGGTATGAGGCAATGTGAACTAGTACTTTTTCTCTTCTTTCTTTGGCGAGGTCGAGCTCCAATGCTATGGCTTCTCCATTTAAGTCTGGATCAAAATTTTCGCTTCTAATTGTGGGGAGGCCAACTTCCAGCGGGATTACTGCTTCCATGCCATAGGCTAAGGAGAATAGTGTTTCTCCTGTTGATCGTCGAGGTGTGGTGCGGTAAGCCCATAAAACATGAGGAAGCTCCTTAGTCCATTTGCCTTTTGCTCTTTCTAACCTTTTCTTTAGTCTATTCAAGATTACCTTGTTTGATGCTTCCGCCTGGCCGTTGGCTTGGGGATATGCTGGTGTAGAATTGTAGAACTCTATCTTGTATTCTTCACAAAAGCCTCTAAAGATTCTGCCATCAAACTGGGTGCCGTTGTCTGATATTAGGGCTTTAGGTATGCCGAATCGAGTAATGATATTCTGCTAGACGAACTTCTTCACATCTTTTTCCTTGAATGATGCCAATGCTTCTGCTTCCACCACTTTGTGAAGTAGTCTGTTGCTGTGAGAAAGAACTTCCTGTTTCCGGGTGCTGTTGGAAGTGGTCTTACTATGTCCAAGCCCCACATTACAAAGGGCCATGGGCTGGTCAATGGTAGGAGTTCTCTAGCCGGCTGATGTATTTGGTGTGTGAACTTCTGACATTTCTCGCACTGCTTCACATACTTCTCCGAGTCTGTCTGCATGTATGGCCACTAGTATCCTTGCAAAATGGCTCTGTAAGCTAACGATCTTCCTCCTTGGTGGCTTCCGCACACCCCTTCGTGTAAAGGTTAGCTGGATGAAGCCTGAGGGTAATGATGCGTTCTCAATCGCCGGAACGAACGGCGAGCTATGTAGTCTTGCCAACGCTTTATCTGTTGGTTCGTAAGCAAGGTATGGTACTGGCATTCCAACCTCGATGCTTCCATGCGTCCAAGGAGCCAACCGACGAAGGGCTGAAACTCTGTGCGGGTCGCGTGCCCTAGCATCCTCTTTCTGTCGCGCCCTTTTTTCAAGCACAGTCCATAAGTCGGACGATCTAGGCAACTCCGTTTGCCTGGATGATGTATGGTGCGTGTGTGAGGGCCGATAGGTACTTGCCTCTGTGTAAGACCTTAATGATCTCGTTCTCTCAGACCTAGAGTAACGAGTTCTGGAAGTCCTTGATTGAGTGTCGCTCGTCCTGAGGCTTCTACTCTCTACTTGCGATGTCGTGGTATACCTACTACGATCTTCTGAGTGGCAAGGAGGCGCATTGCCTTTGCGCCCCTCTCTTGTCGCCACCCATTTTCCCTTGAGCTGGCGCTTCATGGCCTCCATATCCGCCGCCATCTTCCTTATTAATTCATCTTGCTCCTTCACGCGGTCCTCCAGAACTTGAGGATCAATCCTCCGCCTTTGTCTGTCAGGCCTTCATGAACGAGAGTGATAGGGGCTGTTAGTCCGCCTCCTCCCCCTTGCATCCCTACTGGGATTTTGTCGCTGTGGCTCCAAGTCCGCCATGGGAGGGATAGAAGGTAGGCCTTCATGCCTTGCACCCCCCTTTGGTGTTTGTCCGTCGATAGCGGACTGCGGCAAATCTTCATTGTGCGCCATTGCTTCTAAAAAGGTAAAGCTTGATCAAGAGGTTTTGTCCTTGTCTGAATTCCCACAAACGGCGCCAATTGTACGGGCACGAAATATTATTCCCGTATAATCTTGTTGATCAACATTGCGCTCCTTCGTACGTCGTCGCTTTATTCCCTGAAAACACAAATGTGAGCTAGCCGGCGGGTGTGTGCCGGATACCTCTCCGATGCCTAAGTCAGCAAAATAAACAAATAGACAAAAAGCTTTGTGTATTCGAGAATCAAAGTTGTGTTACCTCTCCATAGGTGATGTTGTGAGCTTTTATAGGTTCCGTGTGGCACAATCCTACTAGGACTCTTACTCCTCCATGTAGAGTCCTCCTAGGAGTCATACTCCCGAAAGATAATGCTTATCCTTCAATACCCTCCTCACTGCTTAAACCAGGTGAGATGGTTTTACCATAGTCGGACTCCAATATAACCGAGGTAAGCATGGCTATGCTAAGCCGCAGATTAGACCGAGCTAACTTTAGCTCGGCTCTTCCATTTACTACTCTTATCCCGGTTTCTCCCGGTGCTAACCATGGTATGTCTCGACCGGGATAACTTTGTGTGTGACGACCGAGCTTACCGTAAGCCCTTTGGGATCGGAGTAACTTCAAGCCTCTTTTGGACCAGAGTAACTTCAAGCCTCTTTTGGACCGGAGTAACTTCATGGCCTTTTTACTCAGCCCTTCGTACTGTGGCTCATAACGGCCCATTACCCAGCTCGACCTAATTTTCATATAAATTACCCTCTCATATATGATTCATTGAAATGAAATATAATAGAATGAAATAATCATTCTTTGAGCTTTCCACTAATATTAGAGTGACTGAATTTTTAAATGATTAATGTTATATGTGTCAATTAGTACACTAATTAGTGTATCAATTGATAATGTGACATAATTTAAAATATTTTTAGTATTTGTAATTTATAATAATAATTTCATAACTAGTGTTGATACACTAGTTAATACACCAATTGATACATGTAGCACCGCTCTATGATTAATGTTATCAAATAACTATATGTATACTGATTCCCATATAAAAGATACAGAGTATAATAATTTAATGTAAAGTAGTTATTAAATTATAATTAGGGCTATCAAACAGCTCCCTTACGTATACAACGGCCATCTTATCCATTTCTCTCATCCCTTTACTCTTTATTAATTACTTAGTCTATCACGCAGGCTATGCACGGAATAATTATACATATTTATATTTATTTTAAATTTTTTTAATATATAAATTATATTTTTTAAAAATTTTTATAAAAATAATTTAACAATCTTATCACTAATCATAGTGTATAGGAGAAGTTGAAAAAGGTACTGCAATGACTATACATGGATTGTATCTATAATTATTTGTATAAGGGGATATTAAATGCTGATCAGGAAATTTTAACCAAAACAATAAATGCAGGCATGTGGAAAGACATGTAAATTGAAAAAAAATTAATAAATGCTGATCAAGAGATTTTGACCAAATCAATAAATGCTGAGTTTTTTTTTTAATCAAAAATTTAAAAAATTCAGATAGGGATATTGGAGCTCCCACAGGCTTTGGGGGTTAAAAACCCCCTTTTGCTTAATATAACGGTATAAATTAGAAAATGTTTGAGGTCATACTTGCGGACTCTATTTGAGATTTGTCAAAATCACATGGAGGATGCTTTATATGAGTTTCAAAATTAATTGAGGTATGCATAAGTTGATCCAAATACTCGGCTATAAAATAAATAAATAAATGAAATTATTTAGAAAAGGCTAAACTCCTCGATTTAAAACCTTAGGCTTACATAACACCGAATCGCATCCCATAACTTTTTGTACCACGCCATGCCAAATTTTGCATCAACAGCAAGCATGTGCGAAGGGTTCAAACATCGAATAATAAATTAATGAATAATGATAATAAAAGCATAGTGGACCATAAGTCAGAGAGGAAATGAGGTATTAATCAAGTATGCTACTAGGTATTCATTAATAATGATAATAAAAGCATAGTGGAGGGCCACAAGTCAGAGAGGAAATGAGATATTAATAAAGTATACTACTAATTATTCATTAATAATGATAATAAAAGCATATAGTGGGCCACAGGTGAGATATCATTATTTGAGGAGAAATGTTAGGTATCCCAAATTAATTTTCTATTCATTATTCATTAATTTATAAATTACTAATTTATGTTAAAAAAAAATGAGATATTAATTAAGTATACTTACTAACAAATATATTTATCAAAATTGATTTCAAACAAAAACCTTAAAAACAAACCAAATCATGAAGTGTTCATATATTGAAAAAACCAAATCAAATCTATTTGGCCCGGATCAAATTAATGTAGTATTTTTTTGATTTTTTTTTCCTCAGCCCCACAAACAAATTTGGACAATCCAATAAATGATATCCCCGCAGTGCACATCTTCAAATATAGCCGTTAGTTGTGATCAGTGACTTTGACATACCACCAACGCACAATACAATTATAGCCGTTAGATGGTGCTTTAAAAAAAAACATTATAGCCGTTACAAGCCGCTCAGAAATAAAAAGCAATAAAACAGTAAAATAAAAAGCAAGACAGAAATAAATATTAGTCTTGAATATAATAAACTGACGTGGAACCGATTTCAATCCTATAAATTGGAATGAAACCCCGCACTTGCTCCCTAAAAAATAAAATTGTGTTTGAAAACAATGATTCGATTAAGGGGCTAATATAACAGGCAAAAAAAATTGATAATAATAAAAATAAATAAAAAATAAAAAACTAATCACTGCTCAAAGTGTAAAGGACGGAAATTCTATCTCCTGATCTTCCTTATCTCCCTGTTTCAAGATTCCTTTCCATCACAAGATCTGATGGAAAAATTAATCCAGTAAAGAAATGATTTGAAACAAAGCAATAGAGAAGGTTCTGAATAGACGATCTAGCCTCGAGTCAGTGTAGAGAGAGGTCTTTATTATGGCATTATTTAGCAGAATCCTCCAAAATTTGAGGTCGCCCCTTCCACAGCCAACTTCAAACCGTAATGCTTGGGAACTTGCAAGACCCATAGCCTTCACAAAAACAAAAACAAAAAAACAAACCCGGCAATTTCAGGAAGATTCGCATAAACATAACTTAAAAATATTGGGCCGTGCTAATCCCCCGAATTTTCAAACCAAGAAAAAAAAAAAAAAGTTCCCCAAAACGACGTCATAAAAAAAAAAAAAAAAAAAAAAAAGTTCCCCAAAACGACGTCATTTTGGGGATTAGGGGGGGCTTTTTTAGGGCTCTAAATCATTTTCCAAAAATATTATTGCATCATCGGGTTGATTGGGGCATCTTCGTAAGATATTCTCCAACCCTTATAGACTATTTTCTACAATCAAAAATTTTAACTTGTTTATGACAGTCAAATTTGGTGCATCCTACACCTAATTTTGCAGGATATATGTAACATACCATGGAATGCGGTGGTATATTTAAGTAATCTCTAGTTTTTGTGAGATAAAAAGTCAGTGCTGATAAACACTTATCCCCGTATCTTTTTTTTAAAAAATTAATATAAAACAAAAAAAAAAAGAAAAAACAAATTTATTGTGTAAAAAACTCTCTTCAAAATATATAGAAATGTTAAAAGGTGTATTAATTTCAGTAGAAGTGCATTGAAAGTCAATAAAAAGAGTGTTGAGTTCTATAAATATTTTATCTTTTACTTGTGTCATTTAAAATAGTTGTTAGCAAGACCATTTTTTTTTTTACTCTTACATAAAAAACTCAATCGAGACTACATTCAACACATAATTTAATTTAGTTTTGGATTGCAAAGCATAAATGTCTTAAAAAAAGGCTTCATTTTTGCCTTTTGATAATGTTCTATAGATTGATGATTAGATTTACGTGTAGAATTTATTTATCAAGTAATGTATCACTATTGTATTAGTAATTAATTTAAGTAATAAAATCTATAAACTAATGTAAGGATCGCATAGGAGGATAATATACAAAATATTAAATCACAACATTATGATTGTGTTTTGTTATAGTATTATCTCAATATTTAACTATTTACTATGGATCATGAACTTTTAAAAGCACAATTGTTCAGGAGATAAAATATCATAAATGAAGTGTTTGAAAGAGTAAAAATGATTTTTTCCCTAAAACAAGCGAGCAGCTTGCCTTTAGTCCTTAATCGGATTAGACGGTACTGTTCGGCCCGTTGAAACCCAACACCAGTCTCGTTTTGATAATACGAATCGTTCAATGTGTAGAACTCGTAGAGTACCGTTCATTTTTTTAATTTCATCTTATTAATTTTTAATCGGATATTAATAATTATCTCATCTTATTAATTTTTTTGTGAACCGCTAATTTGTTCACCGTTCATTTTTTTTTATATAAAATTGATTTAATCACATAGCTATTGATATCCGATCAATGTGATTTTTTATGAGCATATAATACTCGATGAGTTCTACAAATTGAACGGTTCGTATTATCAAAACGAGACCCATGGTACACCATCCAGTCCGAAAAAGGACTGGAGTCAAGCTCTGAAGTTTACTATAGTGTTTGGAGTATTAAACACATCTCACCAACCAATAACCAAAAGAGGGTTTGTACTCAAAATATTTATTTTTACATTTAATGCACTTTCAGTCACATAATCATACTTAAATATTATTATACTTTGAAAATTTTGTAGGGTAAAAGCCCACCCAAATGTGCTTTTATATTTTTGTAAAATTGAAAGTGTATAAAGTAACCAAAAATCTTTGTAAATAATAGACCACAAAAAGTGGAATTCTGGCGTGATTATTGCCTTATTAGTTACTTTTATTAAAAATTAAAAATTAATAATCAAAAAATAAAAACTAAAAACATATATTAAGTTGTAAGTAGAAACTGCAACAATAATTTGACACATAATTTTAAATTAAAATAAGTTATAATTTATTTATTTAAGTTATATATATATATAAAAAAAAAAAAAACTCATGTAACTTTAATTATCCATTGTAATTATCAACTTAAGAAAACTTGAAAGGTGATATATATAATTGCGTAACTTTTGAATGATATAAAAAACAAGAAGTGGTTGGTAATTTGGTAGTTACTTGGGTGTTTAGTGGTCTGACGAGCTATATATATAATTGAGTAACTTTTGAATGATATAAAAAACAAGAAGTGGTTGGTAATTTGGTACTTACTTGGGTCCTTAGTGGTCTGACGTGCGAGCCCATTAAAGAAACAAGTCCCACCAGCATTCCTAAACTGTGTCCAATACGAGCTAAATGCATAACTCGCATGCCGAACCAGTGAATTCGGGTTATAACACTTTCCTCCGGGTTGAATCGGGTCACAAGTCCGATTACCCTGCCCGCACGCATACGCCAACGCCGAACCCAACTCGGTCACATTCGCACGTCTACCTCTACTCACCACACACCATATCTTCCCCTTGTACGGCTCATTATTCGTCGGCTTGGGCAACGGCTTGAACTCCAACTCGGGCGTCTCACCCGACAAATCAATCTGATACACATTCGACCCGTTCGGGTACAACAACCCGAAATGCCGCTCCGTACCCGGTCCTCCTTTTTGGTTCTCATTGTAGAGAGCAAATATAAATGTCGGTATAACCGCACCCGGTCGAGCCGGTGTTCCGACCGGCGGTTTAGCAGTTACTTTCTTGATTACGTTCCGATTGTAAGTGGCAGCGTTGTAAATGTTAACTCCAATCTGGTCAATATCTCCACCATTGGGCCACCCGGTTTCGGCTATGAATAACCGAAGATCCGGAAACCCGATCCGTTTCATGGCAAAAATAACCGAGTCAAGCATTTGATCGAGCAGGTTGGTGTAGGTTAGGCCAGTACCCGGGTCGGTATACGTTATATTCTTCGCCATCAACAATGCATATTCGAGTTTGATATGGGTCGGGTCAGACGACCAGGGGAAAAACGGGTAGAGATCCAAGAAAAAGAAGGATTTGGTCCGGTTCAAGAATTGCAAAAGGGGTTCCATTACCGGACCGGAAATGTCAGACCGAAACGTACCATTGGAAGGTGGGAAGGAAGATTCGAGAACGTCCATGGCGAGAGGTGTGCCGACTTTGATTTTATGGAAATTGTGGGATTTGATTGAGGTTTGGATTCGGCGCATGGCGGGTACGAGGCTGTGGATGGTGGTGTTGTCGGAGGAGCTGAGGATTTCGTTGCCGACGAGGAGGTAGCGGATCTTGACTTGGGGGAAGAAGGGGAAGACATTGGTGTGGACCCAGTCGTCGGCTAAGGATTGGTTAGTGGAGATGTTGGGGAGGAGCTGGTTAGGGACCATGATTGAGACCTGGAGATCGGTGCCTTTCAGGGCCTTCAGGATTTGTGGGTTTGCATCGTAGAGCTTCACTCGCTTGGCTCTCAGGGATTTTATGAGTTCTACGGATTTCGATGGAGACCGCAGGTTGTTCCCCAGCTGGCCGTAGCACACACCGACTTTTACAGAGATGTCTGCACCTGATAACAATCAACAATAGTAACATAATATGGGTTACATTTTTATTATATGTATAAACAAAACAAAAACAGAAACATCCGAACTTACCAGAGAAAGAAACTAGGAGGGAGAGACAGAGCAAGAGCAAAGTTAATAAACCCATCATCTCTCTCTTGTTTTTCTTTTAATCTGTCCGATTGGAAGATGTGTATGAAATTTGAATAGATGGGACTTGTAATGGGGGAGCAGAAAAAAATGGTGTCTAGAGTGGTGATGGTGAAGTAGTCAAGGAGGTCTGGTGGGAAATGATGAGAGCGTTGAACAAATAAACGAAGAAGTAGGGAGGGGATTTTGGAAAAATAAAACAAAAATCTTCGAAATTTTATTTTATTTTTTTTGTCATTAGTAATTTTTATTAAAAATTATGTTAAAATTTTGAAAAAATTATTTATAAGTCCTATTAGGGAGCCTTATACTACATATGGTCTTACTAAAAAATTTATGTTCTCATAAGTCCTGTGAAAAGTTTGTTGACACATTTATCCTCAATATTAGTTGTTAATATCATAAATAATAGTAAAATCATATATAGAAAATTGGAATGTTACCATAAATCATATCTACATAAACGTAACGTAACGTGACACCTGCATAAACGTAACGTGACACCTATAATAAATGGTAACATTTAATTTCCTAACGTGACACCTACATAAACGTAACGTGACACCTATGATTTATGGTAACATTCAATTTTCTATAGGAAATTGAATGTTGCCATAGATTATATTTATATGAAACGTAACGTGACACTAACATAAACCAGCAATATTTTCACATTCAATTTAAAAAAATAAAAACTCATTAAGTTTGCGAAACGTAACGTGACACGTTACGTTATGTTTATGTAGGTGTCACGTTACGTTTATATAGGTATCACGTTACGTTACGTTTTTATATGTGTCACGTTACGTTACGTTTATATAAGTGTCACGTTACGTTACATTTATGTAAGTGTCACGTCACGTTACGTTGATGTAGGATTTTGTGGAATACATTCCTATCCTTGAGACTCTATAAGAAATTACACAGGACTTATCCTACCATAAGTGTTTTAAAAATGACTTATAAGTCTCTCTAAAAATTTTTATTTTTCTAATCCTTTTTATCGAGATGAATTTAAAATGTACGTTTTTTTTAAAAAAATTCTTAAAAAATATTAAAGTTGAAAATTAGTCAAAAAAAATTTACTTATTTTTGTATTTTTTGAAATTATTTTAAAGAATTTTTTGATTCGTCTCGTGGAATTGAATTTAAAATTTTAAATTTTTATGAAAGATTTAAGGAAAAATTATTTATAAGTCCTATTAGGGAGATTTATGTTACATATAGTCCTACTACAAAACTTATATTTTCATAAGTTCTGTGTGAAGTTTGTTAACACATTTATCCTCAATATTAGTTGTTAATATCATAAATAATGGTAAAACCACATATAAAAAATTGAATGTTACCATGGATTAAGTTTGCGAAACTTAATGTGACACCTACATAAACGTAGCGTAACGTGGCCATATTCGATGGGACATTACATAAACGTGACGTGACGTGACACCTATATAAATGTAACGTAACGTGATATGACACCTACATAAACGTAACGTAACGTGTCACGTTACTTTCGCAAACTTACTAAATTTTTGATTTTTTTTAATTGAATGTGAAAATGTTACTTTCTATGGTAAAATTTAATTTCCTATATATGATTTTTCCATTATAGTATATAATAGTATATTAATACCATTTATTTACAACTCATAGGATCTTATGAAATACATTCCTATCTAAATAGGACTTGAAACTCTATAAGAAATTTCATAGGAGTTAACATAGTATAAATGTCCGAAATAGGATTATAAATAAGTCTCCCAAGATTTTAAAAAAAAAAAATTGTTAAAAACAAAAAAAATAAAAAAAAAAATAATAATAATAAAGCCAAAAAATTGTGATCCTCAAAACACCTTATGGGGAGAGAGAGAAAGTTTGGGTGTTTTTAAAGGGGGGATGAGATGCTAATATGTGTGGATGATGATATTGTAGTGTGTAGTGGGAGACCACATCGGTCTTTGTTTACTTTTCTCTATAGTGACTTTGACCTTTTTGTAAAGACAGGGCAAAGGGAAAAGGAGATGATAGAGTAATCAGGACGGAATCAGATTCCGACGAGTGAGTTCATCTGCAAAATGACATGCCCGTTTTACTGTAATTTTATGGTATAATTTTTTTTAGACAAATTACACTTTGTTTTTCATAAATTAAAAATAATAACATTTAACTAGTTTTGTTTATTAATTTTTTTCAATTTAAATTTTAATGATAAAAATACTCTTTCAACTATATGGATAATTATTTGCCCTCTTAGACCATCTTTAACGGTTCAAATTTTGGTGAAAAAAATACTTTTTGATGCTCCAACCGTTTCATCAAATTGATATTAAAATGAGAATTCAATAAAAAAATCATCAAACTGAGAACAAGGTACTGATTTTACTAAATCACTGTTCCTGACCGTTGAAAGAGCTGGACCGGTCAACCAGCCGGTTACCCGGCCGGTTGACCAACCGGTCGACCACTAAAAGATTCAAACAGTTTAAATGGGTTAGTTCAAACAATTCAAAAAAGGGCAAATTACATATACACCCCTCGAGGTTTGGTTAAATTACAGATACCCCCCTGAGGTTTCGGAAATTACATCCCGCCCCCTGAGGTTTGTATTTTCATAACAATTTACCCCCTGAGGTTTATATTTCATAACAAATTACCCCCTAATTTCTTATGCAAATATAACATTCAGGGGGAATTCGTAATTTCTCAAACCTCAGGGGGGTATCTGTAATTTAGCCAAACCTCGAGGGGTGTATATGTAATTTGCCCTTCAAAAAAAAATTATTTTTGCCTTACCGGTCAATCGGCCGGTCGACCGATCGACCACTAAAAAGTTCAAACAGTTCAAATAGGTAGGTTCAAACAATTCAAAAAAAATAATAATTTGCCTTACCGGTCAACCAACCAGTTGTCCCTGGAGCAGATTTGATGAAAATTAACAATTGGAGCATTCTGTATCAAATTGAGAAAATGATCATTTTTTTACTTAGATTTGGTAAAAATTTTGGTTCACCGTTGAAGATGCTCTTAAATTATCAGTTAATATCACTTTATTTCTTTTTACTAAAAAATATTATATTTTGTCGCTTAATATTATCAATTAATACTTTGTATTAATATAAACCTTTTGTTAATAATCTGTTAAATATATAGATAAAAAAATTGGTATGCGACTTGCTTGTTATATCTCAAATTTTGTAAATTGTTTAAAAAGAACTTTTATTTTTATTTTTCATTTTTTTTTATATCTCTTTTTTCATTACTTGTCTTTCATACATCATACTAACACTGCAGCTACCTTAAGTAGAAAAAAGAAAGAAATAATAATAATAATAATAATAATGTCATTTTAAGTATCCTATAATATTTGAAATAACATATGCAAATTATGTGGATTTTAAATCTATTTATGTAATAGATCCTTAAAAGAAGACTTATATTGATATAAATTCATAGTTTAAGATGGTAAAAATAGCATTTTTCAATTGAGTAGGTAAAGTGATATTAAGTGATAGTTTAAAAGGGTAACGTGTGATTTATCCTGTAGTTGAAAAGATAAAATTGTTATTGAAGTTTGGATTGAAAAAAATTAATAAATAAGGGGGTTAAATGCTACAATTTTTAGTTTATCTAAGATAATAGTTGAGGGTAATACAGCGTAATTTAGTCATAAAAAATTATTTTGTGCCTATTTTTAAAATAATTATACATAGTTTTATAATATTTACTAATTTTGTAATTAAAAATTTATTTTGTTTATTTTGAAAATAAGTTTTCATACTCTCTCACTCTCTTTAAGCCTTCGTTTAGGATGTGGGTTGGTTTTTTAGCTTTTTGGTTATTTTAGCATGGGCTAAAAAGCCTCATTTGGGATAGAATTTTTAATTTTTTTTTACTTTTGTGAGAGAAAAAATGAAATAATTATGATTTAAATGTGACATTTTACCTTATTAAGCTAAAAATCTTATTTTGTTTTTTTGTGACTAAAATAATCTCAACCCAACCGAACCCAACCCAACCCAAACCTTCTTCCCAAACGGATCCTAATCACCACCACCCACTCTCCATCACCAATGTAAGCCACTTCATCTAGTTAGACATCTTCGACCATCATTGTTGATGATGTCTATTGATAATCACTTTTGGCTACCATCTCTAGTAACCAATAACTGCGTCTAATCACTATATTTCTCGCAAACTGACAATTAATTTTGATCACTACCTCTCACCACCAACCACCCTGGCTACCACTTTTGATAATCAACAATTACCTTCAACCATGGCCGTTCCTAAAATTTTTGAAGCCCTAAGCTTCAAAGATAGGGCCTCTATAAATAGTCACATAAACTTGATACATATAATGATAAGTACCCTCAATTTTTCTTTATTTTTATATTTTTAATTTGCTAATTTAACACAAAGTTTACTATAATCCAAATTAAAACAAGAAAAAAAAAATCTCAAATAAAATCTAATGATATGATATCTGACATGAATAGGCTCACAAGGCTTACGGCCCACAGCTAACAACCCCAAACCCATCGCGTGGGACCCATCACTTGGGACCCATCACTTGGGACCCATAGCATAACCCGGTTGGCAAAACCCATAGCATAACCCGGTTGGCAAAGCCCAGGACAGCTGGAGGCCATCTAGACATGGAGGGCCAATGGCATTCGGGCACATGGCAGGTGAAACACATGCCACATCAGCAGACAAAGATCTGCAGAGTTATTGCCACAACACATCACCATTAATGCAGCCCATCACAGCATTTATTATGACAACACCTCCCCGTCGGAACAGAGCCCCCTCACCCTGAACAAGGTAAGCTACGGCACAGGCTTTCGGCGGAACGGGGCACGTCACAAGGGACAGTGAAATGATTACCAAAGGATATAAGCAAGAATCGAAAACAAGAGGAAGGTTAAGCTTTTCTATCTCTCGCTCTCTCTCTCTCTATATATATATTTCCTTCCTCCTCTACTGATTCACACGCCGGAGGGTTCACTGGGGGACTACCCCGTTCCCCTTTGGACTTGCTTGCAGGTCATCTGGTGGAATCATCCGCCTGAATCGAAACTTGAGGAGCTTGGACCAGCCCGGCCCATCCACCCAGGACGAACTGCATTATCAGTTGGCGCCGTCTGTGGGAACCTG